AGTTTATTTCTGACAAAGTGTAAAATAGCCAAAACCTTTTGATGCTTCATGCTTACTGTGGAAAAATCAAGCTCCAGGACATAGAAGACCCTTACAGGACCCAAGGTCTCACACACCCTGCCACGGTTTTACCACAGCCAGCAACCAAGCCCCATGAATCCAGTCACTCACTCCCCCACCAGCGGCATCAGGGAGGGAACCAGAAGTGTAAAAGCTGGGAAACTCTTGGGATGAGACAAAACAGCTTAATAGGGAAAGCAAAAGCTGCCCATACAAGCAAAGCAAAACAAGGAACTACTTCACTATTTTTCCCCTCTTTATATACTAAGCATGATGTCTGAAATATTCCTTCAATCAGCTGGAGTCATCTGTCCTGTGTTTCCTCCCAATCTTCCATGTATCCCTAACTTCTCTTTCCAGTGTGTCAGTATGAAAACTAGAAAAAGCCTTGGCCCTGTGTGAGCCCTGGTCAGCAAAACCGAAAAGATTTTTACATTATCAACCCTGTGTCTAGCACAAATCCAAAACACAGCCTCATACCAACCACTGTGAAAAAAGTTAATTCTACCCCAGTCAAAACCAGCACACATAGTCACAGCATGTTTAAGTTTCAATAAATAACACACACAAAAAAAAACCAAAACAAAAACAAAACAAAAAAAACACCTGGATTTTTAATTATTGTACTGAATAAGGCATTATACCTCTCAATTTTGCTATACTGTTGACATTGTTGTCAGTGTTTCTTAAGCATGTTTGGAATACGTCTGAAGGAATCAGCTTCCTCAAAAAACCAGATTTAGCTGTCAGGTCACATTATATTTATACACAAACTCTAAATGGGTCTATGGAATTGAATAACCATCCCAACGCAAGATACTGCAATGTGACAGCATGAATTCATGGACACCATATCCCTACAGTTTTGCCTGTAACTAAATATACTCTTGAATTATTTTTTAACAAGTTATCCAAATATACTGTTTTATCAGAAGAAATCACCTTTCTATTATAAAAGATTTTTATATCAGAAATACTGTGTATGAATAACAGTCTTCTAAACATTTCAGAAGAAAAAGCAGTAAAAAAAGATGGTTGTAAATCCACTGATGAAGAGAAAATAGGAAAATAAAATTGAAAAGTTTTATCTTTGTCTTAATTTACAGGTTTTTCCTCATCCTTTTCAACATTTTTCACACTTTGTAGATAAACCTGGATTTTTACTAAGATTCCATGTGTTGGCAATTTTTGTCTTACGAAAAATATCATAATGAAAATGCAGTCAAAACAATGTGATTCAGTTACTCATCATAAATGCATTTGTGGTTGCAATGGTTTTTTGCAGGTACCTTTTTTGAGTGATTAAGGTATAATAAAGATATAGTGTAATACGGTTAAAGGATTTCTATTACTAATTATTTTTACTGCTTGAATTTGTTAATGAAAGGAGTGAAAACTTCACTTAAATGAAAAATTACAACTAAAATGAAATTAGCAATGTTTCATTAATAAATCAAAATAAACTTAATTTGGCATGTTTGTGCTATAGATAAGGAACAGTTCCAATGAAACAGCAATTATTAATAAAAACCAGGCGAGTGACACATAATTTATGAATGCTCTGTCTGCTTCATTTAGCATTTGATAAAAGACTCTATTATGCAAAATTTTTTGTGTAGATACCAATATGCTTATTCATTTTTGTGATAACACATATAGCCATACTAAAATTATTCATAAATACTTCACATATGGAGTGCATTCAGAGAACCATGTACATGAAGGGTTAATAGTGAACCACATTGCAAGTTACTGAATTGCAGCACCATTGAAAGGGGTGACATCACATCCAAGTTCTTCTATCACTGGGTGAAGTTCAGGGCTTAAATTTCTCATCATCTTGTCCCTAAAATGTGGCTTTCTCTTATTTCTTCTCCTTATGTATGATTTAAGAAAGAGCTAGTCAGTGAGTCAAAGGACACATCCAAATTCATAATTGCTCTGAGTGCAACAGACAAAAAAGACAAAAAATTTAAAATTAATTTAAATAATTAAATTGAAATTACTTTTTTCCTTTTTCTGTGATGGGGAAATTAAAGTCCTATCTAGCCAACAGGAGCATTTTAATCACCATATATTCTCCTTCCAACATGGCATCTATGATGAGATGTGTCTTTATTTCTATATTATTAAAATATGTGGGCTCTCCATCCCACACCAACTGGACTAACTCCTACATTCTAACTTCTTCAGTCTCTTAGCTACTCAACAGATTGAAGTAACCTCCATTCACTTTCCATGCCACCAGGATCACACTAAATTCCTCTTCAGATGTCCCTAGTGAATTCTTGCACCAAATACATCATATTTCATGCAATGTCTTTTTTCAAATTCTGAATAATTTATTTCCCATAGATAACCTTCTTCTGTGTCTTTTTTTTTTTTTTCTACTAATACATAAATAAGGAGTATTATTTTACAAAGGTTGGTCTCTGGAGTTAATTAACATCTATTGTGCAATTTCTGTTCAGCCTTCCGATAGTACTGAAAGCCACATACATGCAAATGGTATAAACAGTATAAATGGGATGAACTCTCAGATTAGAGCCCTTATCCACTACAAGTATCAATGTTTGCATACAATTAGAATCAAGTATTGTAATGCTGTAAAAGTGGCCTGGTCAGTCCAAAGAGATAAGAGCTGAAACCTGCTTGTTTCCCTGGCAATTGCATATATTCTCCAGATATGAAGCTAGGATGAACCCACAGGAAAGATGATGCATGAAAAAGGGGAAAAGAGCATCACATAATGTCATGAAATTACTGAAAGCAAAGGAATTGCTTGGCAGAGTACATTTTGCATACTTGTTAGCTTACAGCTGTATTGAAGTCTATGAGCAAGCTAGGTCAGTGAGTGGATTAGGATCCTGGAAGTACATTTAGAAATAGCTTGTGTAACTCTGCAGTGCACTGCATTGCATTAGCTACACCAGAAGGGTCAACTAGATTGAGAGATACAACCTGGAATGGGAAGTCAGAAGGATTTCAATTCTCCTGTCTGCTCCATGAACAATTAACAATCTAAATGAAAAAGTCACACAGTACACACCAAAGATGGGTAAAGTAAGCACAGTCTCTTCTAGGGCAATACAACAGCACACCAGTTAACCAGACTAGAAACTTTTCCCACCCAAATAGAAAATTAGACATATATTTGCTCTACTTTGACCAGTGGCAGAAGATGCCTAGGAAATAGTAAGACTAGACTAGATCTATAATAGTATTTTCCTTGGAAAATAAAAAACATCAGAATAACTTTCCTGAACTGAGGCTCTCTTACTAATTAGCAATCTTAAAAAATTCTTCTTTCATGAGTTTAAGCAATTTTTAAACTCTGTAAAATACTAACATCCAAAACATTTAGGAGTGAACAGGCCCCACTGCTTAGTAGTGTGCTGTGAGAGGAATCATAGCCTTTATTGTCTTCACCTGCCACTTGCTCGGTTCATTTGCTTGACCTCATTTGTGTACTAGAAGGTATTGCACAGTCATTTCCTATTTTTGTTCTTTATGATACTCCTGACTTCATGGCTTTCTCTTGAATCCCAAATCATACAATATTTTAAAACCTGAAGAGCCAAGCCCACACTGTCATTCATCAGAAAAGAAATATTAAAACTTGGCTATCTTTATTTGTGCGGCTTTATAGAGGAATGAAATAAAGCAAAAGTGCACTAAGCATTCACATCTTTTCCTGATACAATTTTTTTTATTTTCAAAATTTGTCAAGAAATGAATGTGCTAATTTCCACTTGTACTTACGCAAACAATCTAAAACACAGATTTCCTGTGAGGGTACTCTTGCTTAAGTGTTCATTTTAGAACAGGTGTCTGAGCTCTGAAGATCTGCAGTTCCCAAGAAAATGGAAGATCTCTTTGGTAGTGGCTTTTCAATAAAACTCTGGGGCACTTTATATCAGGGGTTTAGAATGCAAGGTTAATGTGCTGCAGACTGTTGACTCCAGTGAACATATGCTGTGCTGCTTGACTCTTGAAAAGCCTGTACTTTGTTATCAGCGTTTAGTAATAAACACTAAGAATAAAGTCTGTGCTGAAATAAGTCAGAATTAAACATCTGGTTCCCTTTTAGAAGTTCTTTCCATAGAGACAGCTTCTGTGAAAAAATCTGGCTGTGCCCAAGTGGCTGAATTTTAATATGGCCATTAAACTGAAAAAGAGTAGCCTTTTGCGTATGTCAGGCCTGGAAGCCTCAGTAAATGCTTGAGTACTTCTAACACATAGATTGCAAACATACAGATTGACAACATCCAACTATTCTGCAATGGAGATGCACAAGCCTCTACCAAATTGGAGAACCACAGGAGATCTAGATAGATATTTGTATCTATCTAGCAGATTAACGTACCAAATTAATGGCTGTGAAAATAAAAAGCATAGCATGAATTAATGAGATATGAGGCCTAAAAGCACAGCAGAACCCAATAAAACAATTCATCTCCTGACAAAAATAATCCATCATCAGACATCTGTTGAGAACTTAACCATTCATTTTCCACACCATGGTATTCAGAGAACTTGTTATTGGCACATGACTAAATTTTATAATGAAACAGCTGTAGAGGTCAAGGGAATAGCAATGGGATAACAGGACTCAGTGCTAGAAGCTGATTTCAAGCCAGACCTGTCTGCTACTGGCTGAGCATTATTTCTACATGACAGTGCAGCCAGCTGAGACAGCAATTGCTTTCTCAATTCACTTCCTGAAGAAAAAAGCCAACATTACATAAGCCAGTCACTGCTGGCCATTCTTGATTTGATCATCAGCACTTTTTAAACTTTTTGTGCATAAATTCCATCTCTCTTCTTTCAGTGAATGACATAAGGATTGCCTTGTCACACTTGCCTTCCTGAGTATGACAATGCCAGATATTCAGGTCTCCACATGCATCCACATACACACACACATATCATGTACTCACCATCTCCCTTTGCATCATCTCTGGTGGGCAGATGGTCTGTGCAAAGAACACCAGGTGAGGATTGCAGGACTGTCTGAATGCTCACATAATAAGCACATTCCAGAGATGGGATAGCTGAGTAAAAAATCTTTATGCATAGCCAAATTCCCAGCTGTTTATGGAAAGTCTACAAATATTTATAATTGCTCCACTCTTGAGCACATGGGGTTTACAGTTCAACATCTACCATGCTTTGTGGGGCACTATGTCAGACCTCTCAATTTGGCCCTGGAATGTGTAAGGGACATGATAAAGGCTGATTTAAATCAAAAGCCACATATTTGGACTAGCAGTAATCTGCTAATATTAAGTGATTAATTTAATAAGAAAAGGTTCTCCCGTGCATGCTGACTCTATAGAAGTCCACTTCCTCCTAATATTCAAAGCTCATTGGATCTTTGAGCTTGTCAAGGACAATTTCTGACACATCAGAGTGCTTCCTCATTTCTCCCAGGGTATTTATCAGCAAAATACTTCCATCTAGAGGGTGTAGTAAGAGTCCTTGTAAAACATATGCATCGTTTATGTGGCTGCGCCCCAATCCTAGTTGTTCTAAATGAGCTACAGGTGTGAAGTCCTTAACTGGGCAGCAGCTGTGGCTCGTGAAGGCAACTGGGATAAAAGAGGGGTGAGTTGAAAGCCTTGGAGGAGGCTTGATGAAGCTACAAGGAACTACATTGCTGAGGAGAGCTGCATGTGAGAAAACCAGCCAGAAGGTATGGACTCCAGAAATATAATAACAGCAGTACGATTGCAGTAGTGTGGGACTCTAGAAATAATGCAACAGTATGATCACAATAAGAGGGCGCATTTGGATGAATACAGTTGTATTCACTATTGGCCATTTTGTGCACTGACCTTTGCTGAAGTTTTGTTGTCTGTTATTCATTATATTGCAAGCAATTATGACTAAAACAAATGTGGTGATCCTTGACACAATTTATTTTTCTTAATCAGGTGCTTGTAAGTGATACATCCAATGACCACGCAAATACGAAAGCAAAACTAACAGTAACATTTCAATTCCTGTTACTACAGCATGTACACTAAGCCAAATGCATTAAGCCAAAATCCAGTATCCTCTGTAAGACAGATAACATTGACCCACTACCGGAAAAGAATGTTCATTTGTATGAAGAAAGCACCTTTTCAGCAGGCTCCAAGGTGAAATTACTTTGGATTTTGATTCATCTTGATGCTCCCAGAGAGAAGTGTCTTCAGGTTTAGCACTGAAGACATCTGTGAAGGCAGAGCTAAGTCCATCTTCATTTGACCCTTCTGTTGGGAAATCCCAGTGCAAAGATCCCAAATGTTTAAGAGCCTGTCAATGCTCAGCTGTGCTCATTCATGTCAGATAGTTTTGTTGACTCTCCCTTAGAATCTGGTTCATAATTAATGTTAGAATCAGCTGCCTAATGAGAAATGTATCACAGAACTAGAGATTTCATAAAGAAGAAAAAGACTGATCATCTGAACATATACTGTGTATAAAATGTGTCAAACTAATAGCTTTCATCAAGATCTATATATCTGAATAAACTGCTCACGAGATGCTATTAGGAAATCCCTGACAATCTGAAGTGAAATCCTGAGTCATCATTTTTTCTCATATGGCTCTGGCATAGGAACACTTGGGCTCCTTTCTATCAAGAACACAACTGCCTCACCCTCTCCATTAGAGAACAGGTATATTAAGAAGTGGTCTGACAGCTGTACCACTTTTCTCCTTGATGTATTCTGGTGCATCAACAACTAAGTTACCACACTACCAATGATTGCCTCCCACCAGATACATCCTGAGTGTGGGGTGTATCTATTCCATCCATGTATAAATATTTAATGCAGTCAGTGAAGAAAGAAACTGATTCTGATTGCTCTGAATCACCTTCTGAAAGTGCTCATCACTCTCCATGGACTAGAGAGGTAGCCTGGCCAAACTTAGCTACCTATATGAAGTTCCTTACTTATTCCCAAAGAATAATAAATACCAGGTCTGCAAATAAGTGCCTGAAACATGATTCCTGTGATTTGTGAAACAGAACTAGATGAATGAAGAATCACTGTCAAAATGTCCAAAAGTCTAAGCCAGTCCTTTCAAAAGTAATGCCAATGATTCATCAGTGTGGCTATTTACATGCTTTTTGGAACTTCCTAGGTCTTGCATTGACATTTGATGTCTGATGTACACTGTGCAATTAATTCATTCCACTACCACTCTTCTCCATTCTTAAATGTATCTGTAGTAGATTTTTTTTATTTCTTAAAGGGGCCCACCATTCTCCACCATCTCCGAGATTCTTTCCGAAGCACTTTTGTCATCAGACTTTCTTTTTCACTAGTTCAGCAACACATTAATGGAGTTAATTCTCTCTATATAAAATTTTCATTACACATCTTTGCCAAAACTGGCTTTGCACATTGCCCTATTACTTTAAATAGACTCACCTGGAGTCATGTTCTTCAGAAGATTATTAACATTTTTTTTAACTGTGTGCTTCTCTAAAATATGGAAAGAAAGCATCATTACACATAAGAGGAAAGGAATAGAAAGGCAAAGGTATTTTTTAGAGATCATAATGGAGAGCAGCATTGTTAATGCAGAATTAACAGATTAAGTAAAGGAGACAAAAACTAGTGTTGCTCTGCAGTAACTGAATAAATGTAACCCCCATTTTCTTCCATGACAGTAGTTCCCTTCCATAGTTTTGTAATTTTCCCTGTCTCAGATGTCTGCCAAACCCTTATGGCCTGCTCCCACAACATCATGAGCCCTTCGGCCGTACTCCATGGCACACTGCACTTTTCCACCAAATTAAGAGGAGCTCAGACACTCCCTGTTGAAGATGTTCTGAAGAGCACCACCACTTGGATGGCTTGGTGCAGCTTCCATCTCCACATGTTTTTGTACCAAGACAAGCACAATCTCTTCTACTTACAGACTACTTCATGCAACATTTGCTGGAAGAAAGTCAATTTCAGAATTAACTCCTCTGAAAAACTTTGTTGAAATTGGCCGAACCATTCACAACTGCATAAAGAAAACAGTCATGAGCAGTCATAAAGTCTGATCAATGACCTTTAAGAAATTGATCTCAAAAAAGTGCTCATACAACTCTGCTTTATGGAAGGCTTTCTAGTACTTAAGCTCTGTCTATAAAAATCACAGATTTGTGGTTTAGTAATATTTCTGCACCACACTGGGAATTTTTGATGGCATAATATATTGCTATAACCTCATTGTTTTCACATTGCTATCTACTGTGTATAGCTCTTTTTGGATGATAATATTTTGTCAAAAAAGTTAATGAAATACCAGGTAAAATTCAGGAATTTGGTAACTTTCCAATTTCCAGTTGTATTAATTAATTTTACCTTCTCTTTATTTTTATTTGGCCAATTAATGACAAATAAATTAAAAACCTTTAATTTATGAAAACCAAACCAACTCTGATACTTGTCAAAGATGCCTTTCACCTCAAATATCTTCTTGCGACAATTCCTGTTACTGGGTTCTTTTTAACAATATTTGATTTCCCTTATTTCCTCTTGATTCTCCTGCACCTTATTTAATAAAGTATGGCAAAAGAACAGCTTCTGTGGAGGAGACTCTTTCTTCCGCTTTCTCTTCAAGAAACTTTGATTTTGAAAATACTCCAAGTTTGAATTTAAATCCTGCTGAATAAAAATATTTGTTGGAGTCTGCAACTAAATAAATGCTTAAACTAAAATAATACAAGGACCCTTCAAGTTAAATTTAAGACAATTATTCTGAAATAACAAAAACATTGTTATTTCAAAACACTTTTTCAATACAAAATACTTGTTCAAAACCAAAATACTTGTTCTAATAATACAAATGTTAGGTATAACTCCTACAGGCTAGCCAAGTGGACTCTTGCTAGCATGGAAGTGGGCTAACCCCACTGAAATAACAGGAGAAACAAGGTTTCTCTATCTCATAATTTACAGACCAATGGTTTCCAAATAGAAATACTTATAGTCATTTTAGACTATATAAAATCCTACAGACTTTAGTCCAATTACTAATTACTTTTACAACCCCATATAGAGGTGAAATGAGAGAAAGCATCTACAGATGCTGAATCATATTGGTACTGTGCAATCAGTATCAGAGGTGTGGTGTTTGCCTGAACAAGCAATTCTTTTCTATTTATGGAATGTCAGAAATAATGACAGTGGAAGTAGCACTATTGCCTATCCAAGTACAATCTTCACTAGAACAGAAGCTTCACAAGTATGAAGAAATTGATTTTAGGAGAAGTAATTTGCCATCAGGCTTTGTGGGAGCTAATTGGTGGAAATCAGAAAAGCTGTTGATTAGACATCATTTGGTGTTTAAATTGTAATTTCTTGATGGGGAATGGAAATATTTGAACAAGTTAATGAAGCATATTTGTCCCATAGTAATTTTTATTAGGTTGAAATTATCAGCATTGGGACAGTAATAGTTCTCTTTGATTCCTTATCCCTTTTTCTAAAACCTCTGGAAACAGCAAGATAGCCTGCTTGGATCAATAATTAATAATTGGTAATTTAAAATTATTAATTAATAAGAAATTAAGAATGTCCCTGGATATATTCTTGTAACATATTAAGAAAGCACAATTCTCCTTTCTTATGTCTTCATTGGTTTGTCCCTATCAGTCAAATTCAGGTAAACGGTCACAATTTCTTCTTTTATTAATTTTCCAGCTATTTCATTTGGAATGGACGGAAGCCCCATCTATCTCTATAATTTCTGGAACCAAATAATTTTTTCTTTGCAATCCAAAAGCATTGTGCAATTTTCCCCAGGATAAATTTCAAAATGAAGGGCTAAAGCACAAAATCTGTCCACTCAAAAAAGTACTTTTCTTAAATTTTTATGCAGTGAAACGGCTCCCAGCTGTGACATATAATTGCTACCTTTTATAAAGAACTTGTGTAGTATATAGTATTTTATATAATAGAAAAGTGTTTATGCAGCATGATGCCTTCTTAAAATTCTCAAATATTATGCTGCTTTTAACTGTGACAGACTGGTTTCTCAGTTCCTCACTGATATCTCTGCTTATTACATGTTAGAATAAATCACTCTGTAATTTAAATTTTAAGTCTTAGATCCCAGTGACTGAATGTTAATGTTTTTTCTAGGATCAAGTAATTGTTTCACCATACAATGTCTTAAAATAGGTAGACAATTTATCCAAACAGGAAAGATACTTACTTGATTTTATATCTGATCTCTTCAGTGCTAGGGGGGCTTGAATTTCTTCAGTTTTCTAGTAGAAAGAATTTT